CAGCCCGAATTCCCAAGACGCATGCTTCATATTCAGCCATGTTATTGGTGCAATCAAAGTTTAGTCTGCTGGTAAATGGGTAATGACTCACTTTCGGAGAGATCAGGATTACCCCAATGCCATGTCCTAATGCATTTGATGCTCCATCGAAATGCATTCTCCAGGAGCTGTCTGTTGAAGTATCTGCTTCTTCTAAAGATATGGCCATCAAGTTTTCATCTGGGAAATCAAAGTCCAGCGGTTCATAGCTCTCATCAGTTCTGCTTGCCAAAAAATCGGATATGGCACTGCCTTTTACCGCTTTTTGGCTCACTTATTCGATGTAAAATTCAACAAAAGCATCTGCCATCGGGCTAACCTTCCGGATAGAGCAGGTACACCCATCATGTATTTTAATGGGTCTAACTTGGAAATCAGCCAAGTAGTGTGATACAACATGTATTGTCGGAGTCTTTTTGTAGCCCAAACCAGGGCACAACAAACCTTCTCCATAGGAGGATATCGGACCTCACAATCGGTGAACTTCTTGCTTAAGTAGTAGATGTCTCTTTCCTTCTTCCTGGACTCGTCATGTTGACCCAGGACACACCCCATGGATATGGAAAGATACAAGAACAAAGGTTTTCTGGGATAGGGGACATCAGGATAGGAGCGTGGGTCAGGTACTCTTTTACCTTCTCAAATGCAATTTGACAGTTTTCATCCCATGTTCCAGGGCTGTTTTTTTGGAGAAGGCGAAAGATTGGATCACACTTGTCAGTTAACTGAGATATAAACCTGGCTATGTAATTCAATCTTCCTAAAAACCTCGGACCTTCTTTTGTGTTCGTGGAGGAGGTAGACTCTGGATAGCCTTAACCTTATCAGGATCAACCTCAATGCCTTTTCTGCTGACTATAAAGCCTAATAGTTTCCCGGATGTCACCCCGAAGGTACACTTACTAGGGTTCAGTCGTAACCGGAATTTCCTCAATCTCTGGAAGAGCTTTCTCAGATTCTCGACATGTTCATTCTCGGTCTGTGCCTTGACAATCATGTCGTCGACATAAACCTTGATCTCTTGGTGTATCATATCGTGGAACAGGGTCACCATAGCTCTCTGATATGTTGCCCCAGCATTCTTTAATCCGAAAGGCATCACTTTGTAACAGAAAGTTCCCACATTGTGACAAAAGTGGTCTTCTCCATGTCTTCGGGATGCATCTTGATCTGATTGTTCCCCGAAAATCCATCCATGAATGTAAAGTAGGCGTTCCCGGCCGTGTTGTCCACCAGAGTGTCTATGTGTGGCAGAGGAAAGTTGTCCTTGGGACTTGCCTTGTTAAGGTCCTGGTAATCAACACACATGCGTACTTTCCCGTCTTTCTTCGGTACATGCACTATGTTGGCCACCCACTCTGGATATTTGGCCACTTGAAGAAAACCTGCATCAAACTGCTTCTTGACTTCTTCCTTGATCTTAAGGAGCATTTCTGGTCGCATTCTTCTCAGTTTTTGCTGCACCGGTTTGAATTCTGGTTTGATTGGCAGTTTGTGAACTACCATATCTGTGTCTAGTCCCGGCATGTCTTGATACGACCAAGCGAACACATTTTCGTATTCCTGAAGTAAGACTATCAAGTTTTGTGTTGCTTCAGCCGAAAGAGTCGTGCCGATTTTAACCTCCTTTCGATCTTCCTCAGTGCCCAAATTTAGGATTTGGATCGCCTCCTCATGGGGCAATATTTGCTTTTCTTCTCTTTATATCATTCTCAACAATTCAGTAGGCAAGTTGCACTCTTCTTCATTATCGCATTCATCAAATTCCCCGAGACAAATGGTTGATTCAAAATCCACCTCCGGATCCGGATCATCAGTGCCTACATTATCGTTATCTGGGCACCTGCAAGGAGAATAACGTGCATGTGTGAGAGGATAATATCCCACACGGAATGGTCAAGAACTAACTTTGAGAGTAACTGGAAATGAAGTACTGGAATGAAGGAGATAGACAATGAATTCAACAATAAAAGAAAAATTTGTTTGCCATGGAAAAAGAAAAATGCATCTTTTATTAAACTTAAACAAAATGTTTATTCACCCTTACAAAAGATCACCTATTGCCCCGGGTATAGGCAAATAGGGATAGTTCGAATATTACTCTGAAAGATTCTTGTAAACCACAGGTAGTTCTTCCACCGACCAACTGCTAGGCACGAACCCAGGCGGCAGAGGGCATATCCCGGATCTATCTCCGTTGCCAGCATCTTCTGTGGTCACGGCATTGATGTTCAGATCTTCCAGAGCCGCTTCCAACTCGGATATGGTGGTTTTAAACACATAACCACCTGACTTGAATGTTCTAAAAAGAGGCGGGAATATCATAGGCTTCCATTGGAGTTCGTTTCCAGTCAATCTGGCTAATCTTCTCTCCCGGTTCTTTTAGATCTCCTTTCTCTTTTCATGATAACTGGGCTGGAAACCGAGCCCAAACTGGTCTAATTTTGAAATCAGAAGGACATGATTAATCCTTCCTTGCAAATATTTCCCAAAACCTCTTCCAGTCTTGGCACCTCGGCCCAAGGTTTGCTTGATCTCCATCTTTGTGCATTTGGAGAGTCGGGGTCTTGGAATCTTCTTTCCTTCCGCCAAGAATGTGGCATTCACAAACTCCAAGGAGTGGAACGAACATTCTACCGCTTCCTCATCTACTTCGATGTATGGAGCCTCCGTGGTCACGCTTGCCAAGATATCTTCTTCAGCGTTGATAATTATTAAGGCCCCGTCAATAACAAATTTAACTTTTTGGTGCAACGTGGAGGGTACTGCATCGGCTTGATGAATCCATGGCCTTCCCAAAAGACAACTATAGGACGGCATGATATCCATCACAAGGAACTCAACATCATAGGTGGTTGGTCCGATGGTCAATGGTACCTCGATCTTTCCGATTACCTCTCTTTTGGTCCCATCAAATGCTCGGACCACATTTTGACAAGCTCTCATATGAGAGGTATCTATTGGTAGCCTCTTCAATGTAACCAAAGGCATCACGTTTAGGGCCGAACCATTATCGATTAAGGCACTTGGTAAAGCGTGCCCCTTACAGTAGGTAGTAATATGTAACGCCTTGTTCGGCCTCTTCCTCCGGATGGAATCTCATCATCTGAAAACGAGATGAGATTATCAGCTTGAATATTGTTCACCAGTCGATCCATCTTGCTGACTGGTATGTCTTGTGGCACGAACGTTTGATTAAGGACATTCAACAGCGCTTCTCGGTGTGCTTCCGAGCTTAAAAATAGTGCTAGCATTGAAGTACGTGTAGGTAAGTTGTGGAGCTGTTCTACAATGTTGTACTCGTTGTACTTCAAGATCTTGAGGAACTCTTTAGCTTCTTCCTCCTTTATAGATTCATTGACAACTAGCACATCTTCTTTGAATGGCTCAAGTGGTCTTTGCCCCATTTTACTATTACATCCTCCGGAAGTACTCACCTTGGCTGGTGTTGTTACTGTCATGCTTGCCTTAGGGGTAATTATCAAAGGACTACCCCTACCAAATCTTCTGTCTGATGATTCTCCAGTGGCACAAACATCTGCTTCCAAGGACTCTTGAATTTCTTCGTAAAACTCCACCTCCTTCCGATCCATCATGAGCTGGACTAACAATCTGAACTCTGGGAAATCTTGCACTTTATGCCCTTCTTTGTTGTGGTAACAACAATGGTTACCATCTTCATTTTCTGTAATGTCTGGATATGGTGCAAGAAATCCTGCCTTTACCATTTGGCTCCATACCCAAGCCAAAGGAGATTTAATTTCCGAAACACTTGATTTAATTCTCCTTCCCCCTTCAGTAGTAATGGCATTGATTCCTGTCTCCTGATGATTGGGCAAGGGATTCTGGGCGACGTTTGGTGCTCCGGAGTTGAAAGTGATCCAATTCTTGTTTCGCATTCGTTGCACAAGTCTCTTGAATACGAGACAACTTTCAATCGAATGCCCCTGCACACCGCCATGGTATTCGCAGTGAGCGCTCTTGTCATACCATTTCGGGTAAGGGGGACTTATTGGATTCATAGGATAAGGCGACACTGCATGAGTATCGAAGAGCTATTGGTATAATTCTTTATATGTCATGGGAATGGGTTCGAACTGCTCCCTTTCCCTTTCCCTTCTTGGTTCTCTCTGATTCTGTCTAGAAGTGCCGGATGGCACAGCTGCTGTGGAATTTGAGCTTGAGATCGTAACCCCCTTGCTGACGTTGTAGGTGTTTACATTGTTGATCTCTCGCTCTTTGTTTTTCACGAGAGGTTTTTTACTAGAGTCACCTCCCTCAATCTTTCCTTGTTTAATGGCCAACTTGATCATTTCACCGGCCATGACTAAATCTGAGAAACTTCCCGACGTGATTGCTACCAAGTGCCCGAAGTAAGGTGCCTTCAAGGTCTGTACAAACAGCTTTCTTGTTTCCTTTTCATCCAAGGGTGGATGAACTTGCACAGATAAATCCCTCCATCTCTGTGCGTACTGTCGGAAACTCTCATTGTGTTTCTTCTCTAGGCTTTGTAACATGACCCGGTCTGGTCTCATATCGTTGATATGCTTATACTGCTCCAAGAAAGACTTGGCTAAGTCTTTCCACGTCTTGATATGAGTCCGGCTAAGCTGGTTGTACCACCGAGTAGCTGAACCGGATAGGCTCTCCTGAAAGCAATGGATCAGGAGTTGGTCATTTCCCCCGTACCCTGTCATCTTCCTACAAAACATAGTGATATGGGCCGAAGGGCAGCTGTTCCCGTTGAACTTCTCAAACTCATGAACCTTAAATTTTGGTGGAAGCACCAAATCGGGAACCAAGCTTAGTTCCATTGCATCAACACCATAATAATCATGGTCTCCCTGGACCATCTTTATTTGGTCTTCTAACATCCTGATCTTTTCTTTCATCTTCTTCGCCTTATCCTCCTCGTCAAAATCCGGGATAGGGCAGTCGTCTAGATTACTGTCAGGCTTTGCCGCAGAAGTCTGTAAATTTGCCGCTGATACAGCTTTCCCTCTAGCGACAAATGAGTCACCTTGCAGTCCGGGTAAGGTCCCAGATGAGGCAACCACTTGTGGGGTCGGTGGTATGGTTATCCCCTCAGATGCAGCTTCTCCGGATGCACTTGTCTGTTGTTGTAAACCAGATAACTTAGCCACGATCTGGTCGGCTAGGGACTCCGTGCTTTTCTTTATGGACTCCATGGTACGTTGATTGTTCTGAGCCATCTTGTCCTCCAGTTCCTTTAGAAGTCTTGTCATGTTCTCCTCGAGTTTTTCCATTCTGACATCTATTTATTTTTTCTTTGCACGAGTGTTGTGAGGGTGATGCGTATCTATTGCTTGCGGTGGTAAGCTTGGTGTCTGAGACATGTTCTGTTAGTTAATACGAATGTAAAAAAAATAAAAATAAAAAAAAAAAACTTGAAATATAAAAATGCAAAATATGTAATGTATGATGTATGCAATTTGGGGGCATTGATCCAGAAAAAGTGTTCATTATTATAAATAATCCTTATTCAGACAAAAATGTTTTATCTTTTTAGAGACATAAAAACAAATTAAAGGTACATTCGAACTAAATCCTCTAGACCCCGAACAACTTCCAGTAGGTTGACAAGTCTTCTGCCTTCATCTGTCACCGGTTGAATGCCTTGTCGAACCACTCCAGCTTCCCTTGCTAGGCCGTGAAGATGACGGGCTACTTTTTGCACTTGATCTAGGAAATCTCGGATGGTTGCATCTCGGGCCCTCACCCTTCGTTGTGCTTGCTCCCAACGAAAATGCCATTGTAATCCTCCGTCGAAGGGCACCATCTGAAGCTCGTTTGCTTGCCTCTTGAACCCATCTACAATAGCCTCTAACTCAGCTATTGTCTTGCCATCTTTCTCATGCTGTTTTTCTAAGTCAGCTACCCGAACTCTCAAGCGCTGGTTCTGATATTGACTATCTGCCAAGCGTATTTGGGCAATCTTCATCTTTTCCTTCCAAGCTTTCTCATCAGGCCCCTCAAACTTCCTTTTCAGGCTATGAGCTTCGTCTTTCCAGTATTCAGAGGTTACCTTCAATTTGGCGTGGAGATGACGGGCTACTTTTTGCACTTAATCTAGGAAATCTCGGATGGTTGCATCTCGGGCCCTCACCCTTCGTTGTGCTTGCTCCCAACGAAAATGCCATTGTAATCCTCCGTCGAAGGGCACCATCTGAAGCTCGTTTGCTTGCCTCTTGAACCCATCTACAATAGCCTCTAACTCAGCTATTGTCTTGCCATCTTTCTCATGCTGTTTTTCTAAGTCAGCTACCCGAACTCTCAAGCACTGGTTCTGATATTGACTATCTGCCAAGCGTCTTTGGGCAATCTTCATCTGTTCCTTCCAAGCTTTCTCATCAGGCCCCTCAAACTTCCTTTTCAGGCTATGAGCTTCGTCTTTCCAGTATTCAGAGGTTACCTTCAATTTGGCGTTATCCTTGACCTTATCTTGATACCCCTTTCTCAAGTCTTCGAACTCAAAACAGACTCTTTTCTGTTCTCTTTCCAGTTTATTTGCCCGATCTTTCTGAGAGTCAGCATCTAGCTTCCACTGATAGCGCTCGGCTTCAAGTTCCTTTATCCTCTGCTTCAGCTCACTATTCACGGCTTCAAACTCGGTCTTGGCTATCTCGAGTTCAGAAGGGACATGCCTGAGATGTTCTTCCATGGTTCGGGTGCATCACAGTCTGGCACAGGGATGTTGTCATTCTTTCTCAATCTTCGCCACTCCACATAATCCGGAGTGAGCATGCTTCTGGCAGCTACAACATCCATCCGGAATACTTTCCTCCACGAATCGGCTGCTTCTTTGATCATCTTCTTATAGCTGTCGCCGTGATACTCAAACTCTGACCTAGCCAACCCGCATGTTGCTGGGACAAACTGGCGTGCTCCATACTGTCTAAGTGCTAATAACAGAGCATACCCGACTGCTCCCTAAAGTCCAAGTAAGGTCACAGTGTCAGAGTCACCACATCGGAAAAGAACGTCACTGAGAAATAGCCAGGGGGCTCTCCAGACAATATCCCGGTCCTGAAGATGCATAAAGACCTTCATCCATTTTTCCTTCGAGGTGCCTTCATGCCATTTTAAGGTGATAAATTCACCTAGAGGTGAATAGGTGGTGCTGAAACGGCGGTAGGCAACCCCGTTAGTCTTCCAGAAGTGGCTGTGAATCTAGACCTGAAGGAGCTGAATGCACCCTGTGAATCTTCCTCCACCAGATCTTCGACAATGGTTGAGAGATCGAAAGGTCTCGGCCAAGATGGCTGGTGCTGGGTTAACTCGTTTAGAAAGTTGCTCAAATAGTTCCACCACGGCAGCGTCAATGCACCCCAAAGCTTTCGGAAAGATGATCAAACCGTACAGACCCAGTGCAAAAAGGTCTATAGTCTTCCACTCATCAGGGTGGTTTTTCATTAGTTGCTTTATGTGGATCCATTCAATTCCTTCTCCACTGCCTCTACGCTGAGTCCGATCGATTACCCATTTCTCATCTACTCCTGCAACTTTGGCCAGTGCATTCTTGAAGGGCTGGCTTTTGATGTGTTTAATGTAGGCTCGCTCAAGCTTGATGCTTTCACAATGCAGCAGTGTAGTGTATTCTTCGATGGTGGGCACCATGTCCTCTTGGTTAAAAGTGAAGCAACTATATCCTGGGTTCCAGAATTGAACCATGGCTCTGATTAAGGGCTCATCAGTCTTAACATGAAGCAAGAGTGCAATGTCACCGTACCGTTGGCTGAACTTCTGTCTCCGATCATTCTTCCAACTGTCCCAGATATCTCGAAGCTCTTGTACATTGTTCTGTTTTAGGCTGATAGGGGTGTAGCGAACCAACTCTGACACATAGCTTCCTTGAAGACTGTCTCCCTTTTCACTTTGAGTCTTCTCGGACCATAGTCGTGCCTCAGCGTTTTCAATCTCTTGTATTACAACACCTTTTCCATGAATTCAGATTATTTGAGTTTTAATAAACACCTTTTTAGGGATCAATGGCCTCTTGTTATGATGCAAATGCTAAAAACAAACACAAAGGCAAAAAGGTTAATAAAATAGAAATAAATAAAAATAAAAAAAAATAAATGGTAAAGGAAAAAACATAAGGACTAAAAAAAGGTTAGGAAAGAAATGTCCTAGGTTTTGGAATGTGGTTTTGGGGTAGGCTCTATTTATTCAAAGTCTCCCAGTTTAGGTTCTAAAAACGGTACTCGAGTTCTCCTTGCTGGCGTCCCCTTGGGCCGACCAGACCCTTAGTCCGAAACCCATCACAGGCTTGTGTGGACTAAGTTAAACTCGAGAGGACACATTCCCTTATGCCCATACGGAGAATAAATTCACACGAATGCATAAGGTATATGAATCCCGAAGGCTACTTGCTAGGCCCATACGGTGAATAAATTCACACGAAGGCGTCGCTTTCACCCCCACTTAAAACGGGTTCGGAGCTCGGGTTTAGAGCCTTAGATGAAAAATGTTTGGAAAGCTGAAATCATTAGAAAAAGGTCAGTCCAACTATTTACTCGAAAAAATATAATCAAAAATAAGTAATAAGGATCGAAATATTACCTTAAAATTTAAACTTACCCTTTTCGTTAAAAAGACAACTGGAAATTACCTTAGCCTGACTCACTTACCTGTGTCCCCAGCGGAGTCGCTAAGCTGTCGGAACCGTCTTTCGGTTGGGCCCGGAATTGGGCTTCGACTTAGGCAAATGGATTGGAGTCGCCACCGATCATTTATTTTAAAAATAAAACGGGTTGATCAGATACCTTATTTCTTACCTGATCCGCTTCTTACCAGTGATATGTCGGATTCGGGAGCCGGTTACAATCAAGGAAGGGTTAGCACCCTTGAACTGCCCTTTCGGTACTATGTAATTTCCAGTCGTCTTTAATTAAGAAAATTGTAATTTTAAATTAAAAGGTAAAAATAGCGATCTAGATTACTTACCTCTGATTGATCAAAAAAATACCCTTTAAAATTCAAAAATGTGTTAGAAAAATGAAAATAAATAATACAAAAACGAACGAAATAAAGAAAGTAATATAAAATAAAGAAAATAAAAGAATGAAAAAGTAAAGATAAAAATAAATAAATAAAATGAAGAAAGATGATAACATATACATATAATATTAAATGAAACGGGTGAAAACCATAGTGAAAGAATGATAAATAAATGCTAAATAAATGCTAAGACGAAAAAGAATAAATAATGATAACATAAAGTTAAAAACGTCAAACCTAATCTATTAATTAATCAAAGTAGAGCAGTGCATGAAAATGAAGAAAAAAACGGTAGGGGGGGATAGGTAGATATAATTAATGTGAGTATAATATATATATAATAATAATAGTAATAAAATATATATATACAACTACGAATATCAATAAAAATAGAGAATAAATATAATAGTAAAAATATATAAAATTAAATGAAAAATATATATATACATAATATTAAAAAATAATTACGTAACAAATAAAAATATATACAAATAGAAATAAGGGTCGGATTAAATAAGAAAAAAGAGTTAGGTGTCCAAATTCAAATAAAATAAAAATTATGGGCCAATATTAAAATGAATTTAGGGATGCCAATGGGGCCTTTTAACACAGCAGGGGACCAAAAGGGTAGTTTACCCTTTACTTCGTAAAAATACGCAGGTCAGAAGATTGGGTCGGGTCTACACGCGGGTTAACTGGTTAATATCAATGTTAAAATTTTTTTAAACCTTCATTTTTCATCTCTCTCGCCGAACAACCCTCTCTTCTTCTCTCCCTTTTCTCTGGTTTGTTCTTGAGTTTCAAGAACAGGCCACCGTGGTTCTTCAAGAACCCAGTATCCGACCACTGCATGCCGCCTCGTCGGCCACCGCGAACGGCGCTGGCCGCGGTCATCGGCGGCGAAAATGAAAAAGCTTTTATTTTTTTGAAAGGTCTTCTTGCGTAGGTTACAAAAATCCAACTAGTTTTTTAAAACGAGCCTCGGGGTCGCGTAGATCTAGCAAAATAGCTTCGAAAGCAACCCCCTTGGTCCTCGGCCAAAACGTTTTTTGTTGTTTAGAATCAAACCAGAGTGAAGGAAATACATACATACAAAGTAAACAAGAAAGGTACGAAACTTTTACCCTTTATTTTGCTACGAAACGATTACAAAATGTCGATCTCCGAAGTTACTTTGCTCGTATTTCACTAATGAACACTCGTAATGTTTGTATGTGCGGGCTGTCGTGATGATCTCGGGTGTTCG